AGAAGCGTCTCATCTTTCTAGTAATCTTTTGTACATAGACTATTTACTGTTGGATTCTGGTTCAGAAAATAAAATAGAGCTGTAACAGTCTAAACACCCCGAAGTGCCCTGGTGCTTCTTTATGACATCCCTTTCTGGCTTATGCCACATTTACATTGAATTTCTAACTATTACTACACCACAAGAACATTTTGTCCTTCTTTCAGAGATTACTTAATGAAGTGCTGTCTACTTTGCAATAAGAGTGAAACAGGCATCCTGGAGACTTTGAAGTGGCTGTTTAAAATGGCTTTGCAAGCCAAGAATAGGGAACGGAGATATATTTGGATTTTTACTAGGGTTAAGGCTAGTGGTAACACTACCAAGCCTTTGCACTTGGTTTTAAGAATTCTAAATTACTTCCATGACCATTCTCTCTTTTGAGCCTTGCAACAGCTCTGGGGATCAGCAGGGAAGAATGTGAATTTACAGTTCATTTTTACATGACTTGCTACATCACAGAAGGCTGGAAGATTGTGATACATATCGTCGTCTCTCTCCAGAGGAATTGAATTTTCAGACCCATTATTGAGTCAGCCTATTTAAATCTATCTGTAGAAAATGAGTGTGATGCCTTAAAAACTAATAAAGGAGGATCATTGTGCAATTTGGAACAGGTGCCAAGCAGGGGGATTAGCTACAAATAGTTCCATGGGGTCAGAAGTAAATGATTACGGGTCTTCTGGGGCTGGAGGTTTAGCTCAGGGGCACAAGCGCTTGCCTAGCAAACACAAAGTCGTGAGTTTAATCCCTGGTACCAAACCAAACCAAACCAAACCAAACCAAACCAAGCCAAACAATTATGAGTCTTCTTACAAACAGGACTTTTCCCCAGTGGCATAAAAAGGAATCTAGAATCAATGTATCCTCCTATATGTTTAGATGTATTTCAAAGCAAGTATGTTATCTCAATTTTCACTTCTACTTGCTGTTTTCTTGCTGCCTTATTTTATTTTACTTCTTATTATTGACAGCACTGAAGGTCGATCCCAGGGTCTTGCACGTGCTCTACCAATGAGCTATACTCACAGTCCTCACTGCTCAGTTAAAAACACAATCATACTGATGTAAAATACACCACAGGCATATAACACAAGATATATTTCCTCCAAGATTTGGAAATTAGACTGAAATGCCCTCATTTCAGAAAGGCCAGGTGGCAAACTTATGTATCTGTGGAAAACTTCACTTTGAGATGTTCCTAAATCCTTACCCTAAAAGTCAATTCTTCTGGAAAGCTCTCCATCATCACCAACAGCCAAGAAATGGTGTCCTGGACTTCATATAGAGTCATACACAAAATTTACTGCTTGTTATCTGTCGGGTGACAGAGAGCTTAGGCCAAATCCCATCTAATTATGGGACAGTTGTAGACCTGTTTCCATTGCCAGGTAAGGCTACCTAACCAACCCAGCTGGTCTCAGAGACCTTGGCCAGCAAGGGCTCTCGGTACATAGGAAGACAACCTCATGGTCCAGACAAGACAAAATAGCTTTTAAAAAGTTCTCTGGAAACAGACAGCAAGTGAAACTGCATCAGAATGATTCTGGACCTTCCTCATTGCCGTCCCTTCACAGCTGAGTCCAGCCTCAGTTTGCTCTCCTGGATGGCATCTTTCTCTTCATGTGATCACACTATGAATTATCAAAAGGTGGCAGGCAGCGCTTTGCTCCTGCAGTCCTGCAGGCCAATCTTCCATTACCAATGCAATTCTCCAGCTTTTACCCTGGTACAAACTGAGCCTATAGTACCTGGAAAACTACCTCACCCACTGATCATGTGAGGAGTTAAAATGCCAGGAAACTTACATTAGGTGGAAAATGAAGCTATCTCTATTAAAAATCAAAACAGCTCTTTGAAGTTTGGCAAGTATTTCCAACCTACAGATATCATTGTAGTTTTACACTCTAGCATCCAACAGTGTAGTTATCCTCCAGGTTGGCATTGCATGGATGACCTTCCAATTCGAGAAGCAAAGCGTTTCACATCTTTAACTGAGACCTTGAAGAGTGTGGGGGCAGAGCAGCACCAAGGACAGCATCTGTGGGTAGCTGTGAAGGAAATTGTTTTCAGATAGGCCTAGAGAACAGATTCTCAAACTTTCGCATGCATTAGTATTATATGGAGGCATTGCTGAAGCTTAGACTGCTAGGTTAAATCCATAGAACTTCTAATTCAGGTCTTGGGTGAGTCCTAGAATTTACATCTGTGGCAACTTTTTAAGGCTGCTGCTATCACTGCTGGTTTGGGGAAGCACTGACCTAGAACCAGTCACAAATTTAGAACATTTAGATTTGGGAATTCAAAAATCCTGTAACTATATCATCACTGCTCTGCAGTTTAATAGTATTCAAATATATGGCAAAACCCATCAGATTTCTTTGCTAATATCTGGATACGCAGTGCTAAACATGAATGAAGCGGTTCAGTCAGACACCACTAACCACTTTACCTTGTAAGTTATTACATATATAAAGCTCCATTTTTCAGGTGAGAAAACTGAGGCTTTGAGCCTTAAAGGTTTCTTCTGAGGTTGCACAACTAGATAGTGTGTGGTATTTAGGAATCAAATCCAGGTTATCTGACTTTTAATCATTACCCCAAGCTGACTTCCCCATGTAACATGTAGGATAGTGGTCATGGGGTAGAAATATGCTGTGTGTAAAACAAGGAAGAATTTTTACCTAAAGGATGAAGAAATCAATCTGTCTGGCATTAACTTACCTACCAGTCACCCAACATCACCTTTACAACATTAATTTCTGTAGCAGTTTATTCGGTGTTAATAATGTTATAGCCCAAGGGTTGGCAAACCAGGGCCCACAGGCAAAATCTAGCTTATCTCCAAGGTTTCTTTTTCTTTTTTGTTTTCTTTTTGATACTGGGGATCAAACTCATGACCTTGTGCTTACCAGGCAAGCACTTGAGCCACTGAGCTAAATCCCTGGCCCCAAGTTTTCTTTTTAAGATTATTTTAGATTTATACACACCAGCAAGAAATAATGTAGAGAGATTTTTGGGTGCAGTGATTGGGAAGAAAAAATATCATTTTTCCAATCTCTGTGGAAATATTTCTAAGAAAGTCTTTGACAAGTTTCAAATACATGCCAAGACACAAAACCTGGGTTCAATAATTTTCACTCAAACATACTGCTATGGATGTCCAGGTAGTGGTTGTAAAACACAAGGGTTCTAAATCTGAACCCTTTTCAAGTCCAAGAGCTGATAAGACCAAAAGATCACAGCTACTAGACTGACTGATAGGCAGTGTTATTGCTTATCTCAAATATTATGATATTAAAACTAATATCTGTTTCTGAACAATTAAGTTGTTAAGATTTGGGCTTTGGGTGAGAACCATTTTTTTCTATCCTAATTATCTCAGTCAAAATGCAGGCTACAGTTAGCTCCATGGTTTTTAACACTGATCACACAATAGAATCACTCAAGGTTGCCTATGTGCTCTGAACAAAGATTCTACCTCAGTTTTTAAAAGGAAGGATAAGCCTAGGGATGAGAATATTTCACAAGGTCACTGAGTGATTCTGGTGTGCAGTTATGCTGAGAAGGATTGGGTTAGCAGGTGTTCTCACATCTTCCCTTGACAAACCAGACTGAAATTTTTCTTGCTTGGGAGTGTTTGGTTGAATGTCAAAGTTTTGTTGGGAAGAAATTGTCCAAATGTGGAAAGCAGCTAAGCATTCTTTGAAAGCCATGCAGCAGAGATGAGCACTTTTGCATAAGGTGACTCATTGGTGAGTCACAGCCTCTGCTAGGATACAACATGGAAAAGAGATACAAAAATATCCAGACTGCCATATGAGTCCAAATAGTAGCCTGCTGGGCTTAAAATGGATAGAAGCTTCTCCAATACCCATAACTGCTGAGCTTCATCAGTGTTGTGATGCATGTCTATCCAGTAGTCTATGTAGAGTCAAATTCTCATGGGCCAGGGTACCCTCCATGCCATTTAGTCCAACCAAGACCAAGTTCAATGCAAAGACCCTCTCTATGTTCCACTGCTTGCCAGGTTATGCACTTTACCCAGGAGAATCACTTGGGTTTAACTGTAAGCTCAGAAATTTTAATTCCTATCCAAATTCATTCTCCTCTAAAAACTGTCCACCAAAATAATGCCAGTCACACCATTTAGAGTGACTCATTAAAGGGAAAATCCAAAGCAAGCCCTTATTTCATTAGGATTTCTTTTAACAAGTTCAGCCTCTGGATGTGGCAAACACAAGCAGGTTATGTTTTCGGTATGTGGTGCTAAGTACTAATTGCTGGGTGCTGAGCTGTCGTACTGTAAACTTTGGTTCAAGGTCAGCCAGCCATGTTGGCCTGCTCCCATCAGTTCTCAAGATGCCAGCTCCCTAGAGTCTGACAACTCATTTTTTCTGGCACTTTCAGAAATGCCCAAAGCAATATGGTCCTGCTCAACTAGAATTCAGTTTTTGAACTGTCAAATGAAACACCAGCTTTTCATGACTTCTATCAATTACCCCTACTCACTGACATAAAATATAAGAGATGGACTTAGCCTAAAGCATCTGAATTAGTTATCTATTGTTGTGTAACAAACTACTCAAAACATGGCAACTTAAAAAACAACAAATATTATCTCACAGTTCCTGTGTGTCAGGGAATTCAAAAGTGGCTCAGCTGGGAGGGTCTATTCTAGGGTCCTCATGAAATTGCAGTCAATATGTCAACTGGGACTGCAGACATCTAAAACTTTGATTAAGAACATATGGTCCACTTCTGGGAAGGCTCACTCACATTGATGTCTCACTGTGAAGGATGGCTATTGGAGGCTTCAGTGCTTTCCCATGGGGACTTGTTCATTGGACTCCTGAGTATTTTCACAATATGGTGGTTGGTGTCCCTTAGGGTAAGTGATCCAAGAGGAAGCAATGGAGACAAGCAAAATCTCTTATGGTCTAGATTTGGAAGTCACACTGTTGTTTTGTTTATATACTATTTATTATTCTAGTCAGTCATATTTAATGTTGGAAGGAACTACACACATTCAGGAATATCCAGAGGCAAGAACCACTGGGGGCTATCCCTCTTTTCTTACAGATGAGAAAAATGAGATCCATAGAAGTAGGGTTTGCCAGAAGTCACATTGCTGTACCATTTCAGCATTTGCTCTTCTTTCATTTTTATGCATTGTAATCACCCACAATTTCTTTTATGTACTTAAAACACCAAGTGATGTTTATTTGGGGGGACATTAAGAAGTTTATTTGCAAGTATGAGGTCAGTTGCTCTGATCCTCCTCACAGAGGAAGCCCTTATTAACCAGACCACATATAAGCAAAGTGCATGCCCTGAGCCCTGTGGAAAGCACTTCTCTGAGTCAATAGGGAGTAGCTTTTCTAAGAGGAAGCAAATCCGGAAATGAACAAAAAAATTTAGGGCTTGAGAGATAAGTTTCAACATTTGTTCCTTTTCTTTTCTTCAGCTTGTTTCCATATACAGGGATTTTCCTGCTTTCTCTTTCGATTTCTGAGGGTAAAAACCAGAACAAGAAAGATGAAGTAGAGGATATTACCAAAAGCAAACCAAAGGAAAGGAAAATGTCTTCAGAGTCAGAGTCTCATTACTATCAGAGGAGAGTGATTCAGATTAATATCAAAGGAGAGTGATCCAGTCCTAGAAACTCCCTAGAAGAAGCACATATTTTTTTTCGGGAAAAATCTTATGTTTCTGAACACACACACACACACACACACACACACACACACACACACACACGCATCCTGGGCCTACATACACACAAAATTTAAAACTCATAATTCTGATAAATATTATCAGTTCTTTTCAGAATCCTCTTTGAAACAGTCATCTTCTAAGAAAGAAAATGACAAGAAAGAATACTCTCATATATTTTCTATCCTTTTTCAATCAGTTCAAAAATGACAAGGCCTGTCATCTCTGATCAACTTAACTAGTCAAGAAACATGACAACTCTCTCCCCGCCTGACCTATTTTGTCTAATGGGGACAACTCCTTTGGCCTCTGACAAGCTACCTTCTTTCCTGAGTTCCATTTATAGCAGGGCATTATTAATGGTTAAATCATTAGGAATGGATCTCTCTCTCACAAATCTTATTTCCCCCGTTCAATAAATTAAGCCATGGGATTCGAGAGACTGTCCATTTCTATTTTATTTACGGTCAAAATTTTTCCTAGCCCACAAAATGCCCAAAATACCTCAGTATGAATTCCTACTACATGCTCAAGTATCTGGTCACTTTTTAAAAATTTTTATTTAAGGAGAAAAAAGGAAAAAAAAGGGTATAAGTTATACAGACTTTCAGAAAAAATAAACAGTAGGAAATCACTAGTTAATTACATATTGTCATCTTAGAAATAGTTGTTGAAGTTACAAAATTAAAGCATATAGAGGGGACTTTCAAACAGTGAGACTGCAAACAGTTTTGTTCAATGATCCAACAAAACTCAGTAATATGGTTATCTATCTTATACACTTAAATATATATGCAGTTATATCTTTTAGAGAATTTTCTTTTCCTTTCTTTTGTACAATGACAAAATGACAATGACACATTTTGGGTTTTATTACTCCCACAGTTCTTTTTACTTTTTTTTTTGAAGAAAGTAAAACCAAATGTGACATACCAGGACAGAGTCAATCAAATCAAAAGGATGGCCATAATACATAATGTAAAAACAAAATACAAGGTGATCAACAATCGTTACCATACTGCCTCTTGCTATCTTAAGAAGAATTGCATAAATCATCAGTTATAATAAAATTAAACAAAACAGTAAAGAATAAGACCAATAAAACCAAAATATTGGAGACATTAGAGGACTTCAAAAGAAGATAATAGTCAACCAGAATGGGCGTCACAATGAATCTTATTGTCTTCATAGTTGTTGCCTAGACTTTCAAACTTGGTACTATCAAGCATAACAGAATAGAGGAAAATCAGTCAAAACAAGATGGTGAGAGCAGTACAGAGTTTCAAATCAAGTTAATAGGAAATCAAAGTGGGTTACTATAATATATCCTGCTATTTTTTATTTATTTTTCCCTTAATTAAAAGGATAAAAATGAAAAAGTAGATAATAAAAAGGAGATTGAGATAAAAAAGAGGGCATAACAACAAAACAGCACAGGTCAAAACATAGCCATTTAAGCAAAATAGTGTTTCACCACAAGATAATCTCGACATAATAGTAGTTACCATAATGTCTCTTCCCTTAAAATCTTTGGGTATAACTTCGTATACTGTAGCATCAAACATATCAAGACAATGTAAATCTGTTCAAGAGAATGACGGTATTACAGGGTATTTAGAATCAACTAACAGAAAATGAACAATGGTTTCTGTATAATCTCCTTGTCTATAAAAGTTTTTGTTTATATTATCACATATAATAAAATCCAATAAGATACAACATGTTAACACCGATGGAGACAAAAGAACAAAAGCTTGATGGGACTTCAAAACAAGAGGATATTAAATCAGCACTACCTATTATGATGTCTTGTTTTCTCCAAAATGGCTGTTCCTACCATCCAACCTTCTCTGCCTCATTTCTGTTGAGCTCTTTTTCTGTCATTAGTTGTCAGTTTGTCCTCTTCATTTTGCTTTCTGCTCCATTCATTGTGGCTGCTCTGCCACTGTTTCTGGAATCTTGGTATTTTTCATTTTTAGAATATCCTGCAGTAATCTCTGTAGAGTTGAATTGGTGGTTGCAAATTCCCCTAGTTCCTCTTTATCCTGGAAGCACCTTGTTTTTCCATCAGTTTCTAGGGACAGTTGTGCAGGATATATCAATCTTGGCTGGAGGTTATTATCTTTCAAAGCTTGAATTATTTCCTCCCACGCTCTTCGTGATTTGATGGTTTGTGCCGAGAAGTCTGCTGTAATTCTGATGGGTGTTCCCTTGTAAGTGATCTGTTTCTTGTCTTTGAAGGCTTTTAATATTCTGTTCTTATATTGGATTTCTGGAATTCTGATTATTATATGCCTGGTTGTAGCTCTGTTTGGGTTGTAGGTGGCTGGGGTCCTGTATGCTTCATACATCTGAGTATCTTTACCTTTTGCTAAATTAGGGAAATTCTCCTGGATTATTTCTGTGAATAGCTTTTGTAGTTCATTTGTTTGAGTCCCTATTTCTTCTTTTATGTTCTTAGTTCTTAAGTTGTAGATCCTCTTATCATCTTCTAGTCTTTGTATTATTGCTGCTTATTTTCTTGTTATTTTTAAGAAGTTTTTCATTTCATGCTTCCACCTTACAAATCTGTCCTCCAGTTCTGATAATCTATCCTTAGTTTCTTTCAAGCTGTTATGCCAGCTTTCAATAGAGTTTTTAGTTTCCTGGTAATCTCTTTGAACCTGCTTCACGTATTCTATGTTTTCTCTCTTTTCTCCATCAAACAATTCTCCCCTTTTTTTCTGTTCTTCCTTTCCACCATCTGTTTTTTCTTGGGCAGGGCTTAGCACATCTCTAACTATTCTACTTATTTATTGCTTTATTTCATTAAATACTTCATTTTTGAACTCATCTATGAGGCTCCGGAGATACCGCTTTATGTCTTTAGGTGCCGTGTTTGATATTGCATGTTTTCTGTCTTCATTCTCTTTTGCATTTACCTTTCCTGGATCAGTGTTCTCAGGATTGGGGATTGAGGACCCTTTCTTGTTGCTCCCTTTTCCCATACTTTTTGTTCCTTTCATACAAGCATATGTAGGAGGCCCAGGTTCTTTTTCTCTTTGTCTGTTACAGTTTGTTTGAATCTGCCGCCTAGGTGTTCCCGCCCACTACAGTGTACTAGGGAGACACAGACCTGGGCAGTCTCTGCTGGGCCCGCCCCTCCAGGTCAACCTACTGAATGCTTCACTGCTAGGGTGCACCGCCAGGCACAGGGACCTGATTTGGGCTAGCCTACTGGATCTTAGTCCGTGGCATCACCAGGTCAAGCGCTCCCCACACCTCCTGCTTGAAAAGGAAATATGCGACTAAGTCACTGCAGGGCCCTGTTCCGGCTAGTCTGCTCAATCCCAGAATGTCCTCTGTTGGAGCCTCCTAGTCTATGAAAGGGTCCCCATTTCTCTCACTCACCACAGGTTGATGCAGGGTTCCCTGCCAGTCCCGCTCTCAACGCCATTTGGTTCGCCGATTCCAGCTTTCAGAGCTTTTGCGCATGTCTCTCCCTGCTGTGCGGATTGGGACACAGTATCGGCAGCAGGAAATTCAAATTGTGGCTTCCAATGGCGCGGGATCCAGCTTCCGCACTGAGATTTTATCTTTTCCTGTTACAGCATGAGGATTGCATTTCCAGTTGGTTTCTCTCAGCTTAGTTTGTTCCTGGGTCGGCAGGGTACATCTCCCCTCGCATAGGACTCCTCACACAGCATTGCTCCTGGATTCTAAACTGGTAATCTCAGAGAGCCTCCGTGGCTGCTATTTGTCCGCCATGTTCTCCCGGAAGTCCTATCTGGTCACTTCTGAGTTGCCTTGTATTTACTGCTTTAAGTAATGTTGCTGTGCTTGTGGAAATTTTCCTCAGCCCTCCATAGAAGCTTGGAATCTGGAAGTGAAAGGAGTCCTTGAACCTTTGTTGGGGAGAAAGAACTCCTTTCCTATTCCTCAAGCAGATGCCTTTGGACAAGTGTTGAGTTACTCCTATGTTTGACCTCTCTCTCCACTTAAAAATAAGGTTTTCAGTCATTCTTCCACCATTTTTGTTGATGACTTCATTGAGCAACTGAAACATTCATGGCCTGCAGGTGCCAAAGTGACCTGTGCACTTCACTCCTCAAAGCTTTTCCTTGCTTGTTTTTAGTTTCCAGAGCTCCACAGCCAGTGGATCTCTTTAAAGTACCCTCAAAACAAAATCCACAAAAGCGATAACGTCACTGCCCTGATGCACATCTTTCAGTGGCTCCCCATTACCCGTAGGACCTACACTAAGAGACTGAGGCTCGGGGCTGGGGATTTAGCTCAGTGGCATAAGCGCCTGCCTTGCAAGCAGGCAGTTGTGAGTTCGATCCCTGGTACCGATAAAAAGGGAAAAAGACAAAAAAAAAAAAAAAAAAAAAAAAAAAAAGAAAGACACTGAGGCTCACCAGGTTTTTCTTATCTTGCATTTCTCCTCACCCAGGACATTCTTTGCCCCAACCCTAGTGAACTTCTCCCAACTTCATGGAAATGTCATAATGACTCTAGGTTTTTGCACACGCCCAACGTATTATTTTCCATTCTTTCCTCCCTTACTCATAATCGGGCTAACTCTTACCTATCAATCTTAGGTCTCAGTCTAAGAACTATTTCTGCATATAGCATCTTAAGCTGGATAAAACATTCAGAGCTTCTGAATTTGTTCCATCGTAGCAGTATTCATCACAATGGAGGAGTGCATTGCCATCACTTTTGTTGTTTAGTTTTCCTTCCAGATGTTAAGCTCTATGAAGGAGGAAAACTTGTTTATTTGTCTGCCTTGTATGGTTAGCATCTAATATATTTCC